TGCAATGCTCCGACGTGTTCCTAACTTCCGGTAGCTCTTTCCAGTTTGTTGATTTCTTTCTACATAACAAAATATTCTCTGGTATCTATTCTAAGTATTGCCATAGAATATTTACAATTGTCACAAATATTGTCAGTCGGGTTCTTTCAACATGTAGGGATTTTATCTCAGCATAACTCGCATTCAGCAGGACACAGTGCCTGCCTGGACTGAGTCATGTCCCAATACGGATGATCTCGCTTCTCTGTCGGCAAGTGGAAATGGAAGACAAATCTTTGAAAGATGGAACATGCTTGACTCACAGGAGGTTGGCTGACCAGCATAGTAATTTACTGAGCTATTATAGATCTTCTGGATGACTTGCTCAGTTACAATTATGGAATTCCTATACACAGCCACTCTCTGACCAGAGGTTTTGCTGTGATGATTTTTAAAACAATCTTTTCTACATTTTTCAGCTACTGGTCAACTCTCAGCAAATCTTTACTCTCCTGGTGCTGTCCTGAGTTCCCATCTGTGTCTCTCTACTATCTTAACAATTACGTTTTAACCTCCTCTAACCCCAGATGGTGTAAATACATAACTGCTTGTCCTTCCTAATCGTCTTATGGAGTCTGGAGTCCACATGATCATTGTTCAAAGGACATTCTGGCTTGAAAGACTGACTGGATAGTGACTACACCTAGAGGCATTTTTTCTTGTGCAGATTTCAAAAAGAACAAGTTTAGTTGAACATCTAAATGAATTAGGCAGTGGACCACATCAGACCTTGTGTCTCTTCTGCTCAGCTTGATAACAGTTAGTTATGTCATCTTCATATAATTCATCTTTAATAACCCTGCACCTGCACCCTCTTGCCTTTGAGCATCTGAACATATTGCCCTGAGTTTATCTTCTCTACAACGATTTGCACTGATGTAGGGAGATCCTCTCAAAGCACTTTACAAAGACTGAGAGGGAGCCCAAGGTAGTGGGGAGACAAGAGTGTCGGGGCTAGGTGGCTGAAAATACAGTCAAATAAAATGATTTTTAGTGGGGTTTGAAAGGGTTTCCGAGTGAGATTGAACTTAAGATCCTTGTTCTCATCTTAAAATCCTTCCATGGTCTTGTCCCACGTACCTCTGTGAACTCCTACAGCCGCACTGGCCCGGCCCGGCTGCTCATTTTGCTTCGCAAACATTGGCCTGCTACATGTCTCCTGCCCTCTGCACCCCACCAGCTTTCAGCCATTCTGACGATATAAATGCAAAATACAATTAAATGTATGTTGTATTGTGTTGTAAGCTTCACCCGGAGATGGTTAAGAGAAGCAGATGGGGAATGTGAAATAGGCCAGAGCTGGCAAGGGGAGTGGCTGAGGGTGTAAAGTTGTAGGAGATGAGATTGTTGAGGCATTACTGTGTTCTTAAGATTGATAGCAATTTTGGAAAATCTTCCCTTTCCCTAACCTCCTCGCTCCCACCCCTAGTTTGGATGCTCGGCCAGCAGCACTGAGGCTTTGAGACATCCTTACGCCATGAAAAGCGTTAAATAAATGTAAATTTTTAATGCAATTTGTAGTGTATTTTAAGATGGGGCAAGGCATTTGAAAGTAAGGATGAGGATCTTTAAAATTGACCTGCTGGGGCATAGGGAGCTAGTGGAATGAGCCGAAGTTGGGGGTAATAGTTTGTGATCATGTGGAGATGGAAGAAAGTGGACATGGCCAGAGCTCAGATGAAAAAGTAGGAGAGTTGAATACCAAGGTTCTGCACAGGTGAGCAACCAGGGTAGTGAGGTGAGGGGACACAGACAGGAGGCAAGCAGGCAGGATAACCTCAATTTTACCGACGTTGAGTTGGAGAAAGTTAAGTCTTGATTTCTAACATCCATCTGAATGTTTCAGAGACCCGACTAACCCCCCAAAAAACTAGAATTAAAAATCTAATACTAGGTATTGAAGTTCAGTGCATGCACATGACTGCACAAGTGCAAATTTCTCCTCAGTCCCTGGCCATTCTAACAAGGAATGGGAAGTATAAATCAGATTACCCACTCCACAAAGTGATATCACCTGATTTCACACAGTTTGCTAGGGCATTGGAATGATTGAAAAGTGTTGTCATAAAAGTATTTTACATAATAGGTTTAATTAATTATCCTGACACATTTTCTGTTATTGATTCAAGATTTGATACCTGTTTGCCAAATTGAAAATGTAGAAGCCGATATGAGATTGTTCTGTGTACATGGCACGATGACAGCATATGATGAAGTGACAGACCTGCTGACTAGTTCATATGTACTTCAGTTACAGTGCAACAACCTTTTCAAGTCCACAAAAATGTTAACCATTTGATTGATAAAAGGTTGTTTTAGCAAAAAGCCACAACCGTCCATTATCACTTGTATATAGGATTATAAATAATCTTTCAGAGGTTGGTTTATAGTTTTAATCTTCCCCAAGAGCTTGTGTTTCCTTCAAACCATTCATTGGTTCGCTGAGGGTGGTGTCATTAGGTACACAAATCCTCCAAGCCCTTATTTTGTGCAATTATGATTAAAATTTTGACATTTCCCTATGTTCCGTTTTGTTGATTATTTCGTTCATTAATAATTTAATCTTTACAGAGGTTTCAAGTACTATTTGAATTAAATAAGTTATAAAATAATAAGTGTTCAGCACTTAGCCCTTTGAGTATTGAACACTCTTTTTCTTTCTGTAAATAAAATAAATAATATTTGCATTTTATGTCGGGAGGATGTCTCAAAGCACATGATTTACTATTTAGTGTGGTGACTGTATTTTGTAGGCAAATACCTGAAAAATCTATGAATCCTGCATATTACAATGTAGAATTAGAGCAAACTACACAACCACCAATACATTTGTTGATTTATAATAAGGCCAGCAAATGGAAACATGCTTCCAATTCCCTTCCATAATGCATTCCCATTTACGCCCCACTCTGTGAGATTCCTCATCCAAGCAACAACAAGATTACATTTGTATAGTGCCTTTCACGTCGGGAGGACGTCCGAACGCGCTGGACAGTGTACCTGAGCTGGGGTCAGGAGGGAGAAGGGAGGGGAGGGGAAGGGGGTGACCAATAGCATGGTCGAAGAGGAAGGTTTTGAGGTAAGACTTGAAGGAGACTAAGGAGGGGGCGAGGCGGAGTGATTAGGGGATGGAGTTCCAGAGGTTGGGGGCAGAGTGGCTGAAGCCTCCCCCACCAATGGTAGGGCGGGTGGGTCGGGGGACGTGGAGCAGGCCGGAGCCGGCTGAGTGGAGGGAACGGGCGAGTTGGTAGGGGGTTAGGAGGTCACAGAGATAGAATGGGGTGAGACCATTGAGGGCTTTGGCTTTGTAGGTGAGGACCAGGATTTTGAACTGGATCCTCTGAAGGATAGGGAGCCAATGGAGTCATGTGAGAATGGGGGAGATGGGGTCACAGAGTTTGGTGTGGGAGAGGACACGGGCTGCAGAGTTCAGGATTATCTGCATCCTGTGGCGGGAGGAGTTGGGAAGGCTGACAAGCAGGGAGTTTGCATAGTCGAGCCTGGAGGTGATGAAGGCATGAACAAGAGTTTCAGCGGCCTGAGGGGTGAGGTAGTGGCAGAGTCGGGCGATGTTACGGAGGTGAGGGAAGGCAGAGCGGGTCATAGCTTGGATGTGGGGAAGAAACGACAGTTGAGGGCAAAACATTTCAAGTAAAAATTTGAACCATTATCCTGTCTTCACTATTCATCCCATTAATGATCCATTCTCACCAAGCAGCTGCTGCATATTTTATTAGTCTAACTACTGTAGTTAACAGACAGGAGGTCGTGGGGAAATGACAACTTTCTTGACTGGTTGGTTTCAGATCACATACTGCCACTCAAAAACAAACGCCGTCACGCAATAAAGCTACTCAAATGCCAAGAAGTGGCTTATTAACGTTACATTAATTCTGAACCATCAATTAAACACAGAATGATTTTTTAAAAAAATACAATTTTTCAACACATAGTTGAAGGTTAAGAGGAAATGCAGGAGAAGGGAACACAGGGGAACAGGAGAGGGGAACAGAAGAAGGGAACAGGAGTGGTGGGGCTGTTATGTGGAGTATAAACACTGGTACGTGTTTATAATATGCAGTATTCATAGATTTTGCAGGTTCTGGTGCCATATTACTCTAGGTAACTCAATGCACGGAGGGCTTTTTACACTTGGTGAGTAACACAGAGGTGTTCCATGGGCTGTGGCCAGTAACAATAGCACCATCCAGCAAGTGGGAAGAGCAGAGGCCAGTCAGCCCGACATGCAAAGGTCTCACTGACAAGATCATTAGGGAGTGCAACCATGGAAGGGAGAGGAGTTTTGCAAGGATGGAACCCAGATCTATCAATATAAAGTGAACCTGAATTTTATCAGGAATGCATTTGTGCCATGGCCTGCAGCGCTCAGGCTCTCAGGCCATGTCTCCTTAGGCTGTGTCCTATATTACCAAACCCCTCTCATCTGAATGAATCTAGCCTCTAAATAGTTAGAGCACTGAAGAAAAATGTTAAAACTTTACTGACAGTTAAATGGGGAGGGGTGGGGGATTACAGGCTTCATAAAATGTTCTTCTAGACATAGTTAACCTAATCCTGTCTTCTTGCACTATTTTCCTCCCTTGCAAAGCCATTGTCATCACTCTCCTCACAAAACCACTATCAACTCTTCCATTTTCTACCACCAACAACCCATCCTTATCCTACCCATCCTATCCAAAGGCCTGGGACACATCATTGCTACCCAACATTGCTCCCACCTCTCCCTTCACAATTTGTCAAGTGCCTCCTGTTCCAGTTTCCATCCCACCCACAGCACCTTCACTGGTATATTTTCACTGTCACTGTCAGGGAGCGTTACCTCCAGATATGAAGGTAAATATTGTGTGAGAGATGGAGGTAAAGGGCCAGTGGGCCTTTTCTCGATCTCTTCTACCTATGTTTTGTATCTACTTAGATTCGGTATTTGTGTTATATTTCAGGTACATCTGACTGGGTTGGGAATGACTTCATGCACCATACAGGAGTCGGCCTAATCATCCAGCAGAAACCTGGCAGCAGTGGCAGGAATATGTCATTGTTTCACAGGGAGCTAAAAGCCGTGTTTGAAAGGGACTGGAACTCAGATATGCCAAAAACCTGGAAATAAATACCTTGCCGGACTGCTTGCAACATAGATCAAACCAGCACGTAACATCTTCATTTACTGGGGGGGTGCCGTAGGGGTGAAAGCAGCACCGTTTAGAAGTGGGGAGGATCTGGAGCAGAATTGACTTAGTGTAGGTCTGTGTGTATAGCAAATAACCTGTCTGATCAATTTGAGGCATAATTAAAACTGCTGGTATCCTAATGATATGATAAAGCACAGAAGAATCTTTTAACAATCTTACATTTATACACTGTTCCCCCAAGCCTGTCCCTCAGGAAGATTGAATATTTTAATAGAGGTCATAAAGCATGACTACTCAGTATCTTGAACCCCCAGGAAAGCCCCACATGTCTTTTGAAAGTAAATTTGCTTTCTTACTTGAAAAAGAACAACATTAAAGGGTACTGGAAGTGAGAGTTAAATTATATCGGCTAATGTGAAGAAAACGCCTGGTCAGGCTCATTGGCTTGTTTCTATGCTTTAACACTCCACAATTTCAACCAAGCAGCTGAAGTTGATCAGATTAAAGCTCCATCTCTATATTTGTTTTCCAATTTGAGTTCTCTTGGTTTTGGTTCACCTTGTGCTCACTGGTGTCCACAAGTTGATCCACTTGCGATCCTGAGTGTCTCACCAATGACTGCATGTCTGATTTCCTCAGTGTCTGCTTCACACTCCCCCCACAGTGAACTAACTGAGACTGCAGTTTGGGTAATTGGTCACAGAACTGTGTCTTCATGTTTCCATCCACTGCTCTGCTGTAATGTTTCATAATATGTTCCTTGTGCAGTAACTACCATGTTTCATAATGCATTTCATGTGAAAAATATCATAATATTTCCTAATGCATTCCTTGAGACAATAATCACAATGATTTGTGATGTGTTGCTTGTGATAAATATCATGTTTCATAGCGTGTGCCATGGATAACCATCACAACATTTTGTTACAATGATAGTGATAAACTCATATCATTATCATTGTTTCTATATTTCCGTTGATTGGGGAGTCAGTAACTAGAGAACATTTGTATAAGATAGCCACAAGTTGAGTGAAAGGAGAGTGGTTGGGATGTGGAATGCCTTGCTGAGCAGGATGGTGGAAGCGCAGTCCATTGTAGCTTACAAGAGAGAACTAGAAAGGGACATGAGAGGGCTTGAAGGGGTATGGGCAAAAGGTGTGGTGGTGGGACAGAAATGATCTCCTTCCTCTGGGAGCCAGTGAGAACTTAATGGGGTGAATGGCATCCTTGTGCTCTGTAGATTTCTATGTTTTTATGTAACATTTTGTAACATGATCCATGTGTTAACTGACATTTCATACCCCATTGCTTGTGATAACTGTCACATGTTCCCTAATGTGTCCCCTGTGAATGCATTGTGAAACGTTGCAAATTTTACCTCCATATTTCAGAAATACTCATTAAATTATTACAATACAAATTTACTTTTATATAGCGCCTTTCCTGTCAGAAAGACATCCTGAGGTACTGAGTGCTGAACATTTATTAAAAATTTGCTAACAATTTTACAGCATTTGTAATGGAATGGCATAACATAGCTATGATAACATAATTAGTACCTGGGTTGAACGGGCTTGGCTCTGGTGAGAGCCTGGGTAAACTTGCATTATCTTCCCTAGAGCTGAGTAGGTTAAAGGGTAATCTGATTAAGGTGTTTTAAATATTATGGGGAATTGAGAAGCTTTAGATGGGAATGACTTACTGGTAGAGGAATCCAAAACAAAGAGACATCATTTTAACAATTAGCTAAATTGTTTGGATTGAGATTAGAGAATATTTTTTTGCACAGAGTGTTGTGTGAATGTGCAGTGCCCCATTCTCAGATTGGCATAAGAGCTGAACGAATTGAATATTTAAAAGAAAGTTTGATTAGTTTAATTTAATTTATGGAATTCACTACCCCGGAAGGCTGTAGATGCTCAGTCCTTGAAATATTTTCAAGGTTGAGACTGATAGATTTTTAAAAAATAGAGGGATTAGGGGATATGGGGATAGGGCAGGTAATTTGAGTTAGATCAGATCAGCCATGATCTTATCGAATGGCGGGGCAGGCTCGAGGGGCCAAAAGACCTACTCCTGCTCCTAACTCTTATGTCCTTATTAGACAGACAGACACAGACAAATACATACAAACAGGGAAAGTAAGGGTATTAAGGAGAATGAAGACAAGTTGGGACAGTTGAACTAAAAGATCTACTATGATCTAAGAAAATAGCAGAACAGCTCAAGGCTGGATAATCCCTCCAGTTCCCAAATGAAATTACTACCTGCTTAAAGTAGGCAGGCTTAATCCAATATTTGATGTGGATAATTCATAGCACAAAACTATCTGCAATGTATCACTATTTTGACATTGGGTTAGCTGTCTTCCTTGGACAGCTGGCGTAGGACATAGAAGTTCTCCACTTTTGCAGTACGGATCCTCTTTAGAGGTCAAAGCACATCTTTCAAGCAATGTTGACAGAGCCTTGCTCTGCATCTAAATGCCGCTCTGCTTTACTTGATGCTTCATGAAATGTGCTGATAATGGTACAGAAAGTGAGAAAAATTATTTTCTCTATATATTGATAACCCATATCCCGTAGAACGAAATCGCCTTATCCCTCCCCACATTCCCTCTCCCCAAAGATATAACATTATACTTTATATTAAAAAACACAAACTAACCAATGCTGGGAAGCCATTCAGCTTATCATGTCTGTGCTGATGCTAGTTCCACCACTGGAGCTATCCACTTGGATACAATTTCTCTGCTCTTTCTCCATAGCCTTTAATATTATTTTTCCTCAAGTATTTATCCAGTTTCATTTTTACTGCTGATACAGACTCAGTTTCAACAGTCATTTGGATAAGGCATTCCACAACCAACCCTTCAAATTACCTTCTTGGAGAGTAAAATGTAAATGTTCAATTAACAGTAATTTAGTATTCAAAGGTACAGTCACTTTTCTATTAGAACAGCTGTCTGCGGGACAGCAGGACACAAGCGGAAACCCATCACCATGTTCAGGTAAGGAGTCTGTGTTTTATCTTGAATGTTATGTTCACACGAATAGAGGCAATGGTAAGAGCTCTGAAACATTGGTCTTGAACCTTATCACCTTCTGTGACTCCAGAGACTGGGGACTGGTAGCAAAAACAACCAAAAACATCAATCTATTCACTGACTGTTTCCGACCAAGCGGATTGTGAGTATTACAAATGTTGACACTATCAGCATAGGCCCTAGTGCAGAAAAATTCAGTGTAGAGGTTCTGAAAATTGCAAATGTCTCCCTCTGTGCCAATGCAGGAACCAGTGTCATACTACCATACTGTAGTCCTAACTCGGAATGGAAATCATCTGCCCATGTTCACACACAAGTGAGTGAGCCCATGAGCTGTTGATTTGGTTTAATAAATGAGGGAGAAGGGAATGTATCAAGATGGATAGAGAAGAGGGGATTATGAAGAGTGGGGGCTCATATGGAGTATAAATACCAGCATGGACCAGGTTGGACTGGATGGCATGTTTCTATGCTGTAATGCTCTATGTAATTCTATGTAACATATTGATTTTACTGTACATAATATGAGTTTTGAATATGTTTGCTCTATAGTCTACTGCATGCTTGAAATTCCACCTATTCTTAGCTTGTACACCTAATTTGACTTCAAATAAACAATTGTGTGGAATTATGGAAAATTCTTAAATTTATTCTTATTTGGAAAAATGGTTCTTTCTAACGAATATGAAAATCCAACTTTCCAGATTGAGACTGACTTGAAGAATTTTTCGCACAAACTTAAAATTTATTATTAAAAATTTTGAGACATAAAGGTCTTACAGACTGATATCAGGTGGAATCTCTGCCATGCATGAAGTGCATGAGATAATCACAGACTGCATTGAACGTATGTAGGTAGATAACTTTACAGTAATAAATACTGGCTTGTAATGCTCCTTCTCTGTGCACATGCTATATATATCGAATTGATGCAATGTCCTGTAAAGTACTGAAGAATTAACACTTTTTACCATGACGTTGTTGGGCAGGGCTTTTGGTCACAGATGGACACGCACATAGTTCATTTCCCAATGTCAACTAATTTTCAGACTCAGTTACCCTGTGTGTAAATTGGGAGAACGCTCAAACTGGGAGCAGGGATGTGGAAAGACAAGTGTGGCCAAAGGCAGTGAGTGTACTGTCAGCCGACTCAAAATGATGCAGAAATTGGACACGGGCAAATCTAAATTTTAGATTATATCACCATCCTGTCTCAGAGAATCAGTGCAGTGGGAGGAAGGCAGTAAAACGGGACAATAAGGAGGGTTGAATAAATCCTGCAGTTTTTGCGAATTACATGCAAAATTATTTTCAATCATAGGAAGACCAAATCCATAATGCAAACTGAGGTTTTTGCTTCTACAATATTTCTCACCATTGTTTGATAGAGTACAATGCGATTGCTGGGGAAATATGTACTGCTGGTAGTGTCTGCACCTCAGGGAGGGTGTGAGCTCTCAGATTTACAATAGAGTCAACTAACAGGTTTTAACATTATGCTGAGCTGCTGTGTCCAATAAACACTCCGAGTTTGGTAAGCCATTCCCATAATACAGTAAACTACTGATAACTTAACCCTGGTTTAACAGGTCACTACCACTTAGGTCATCAAGCTGTCAATATCCTGACTGTATTTCTTTATGTATTTATACATATGCCTAACTCATCACAGAGCCCTTTTCCCTTGGAGTGATGAGTTATCAAGAGTTTATATCTTTCTCATAGTCTCCTAACAACTCTTATGTTCTTTAATTCCAAGGTATATGCAAATTCTTTGCAGCAATACTCATGCCATACATTTCAGTTCTCTGGCCGCTGTGTTTCTTTCTCTGTTGTCATTCTCTTTCTCGTTTGCCATTTTCTCTCTCTCTCGCTCTCTCTCTCTGTCACACTGCAGTGCCTCCTCCAGGACATCTCCCCTCTCTCCACTTTGCTGGCCAGGACACCACATTCATCCACAGGCATGGCATAACATTATAGTTTGTTACACTAAGACTTTGATTCATTTATTTTTGCTTTTAAGCATTACTAATGAATATTTTGTTTTCTTTATTAAGAAAAAAAGAACATAAGAATTTGGTTGGCGAAAGAAGACCAAGGTCCATCTAGTTTGCTTTTCACTATCCTGACAGTCACTTATATAGTTTGTCCCAAACTATATATTGTATCCTGAGATATTTTTCTAGCAGAAATCTATCTAATTTGTTCTTGAAACAAATGACATTTTCTGCTTCCACTGTCTCCCTTGGGAGCCTGTTCGATAAGTCTACTACTCGCTCACTGAAGTAGTGTTTCCGCAGATTTGTTCTGAATTTAGGACTTTAGTTAATATAGTTAATTTAATTAATATCTCATCTGAAGGATTGGACGTCCAACAATGGGACACCTCCCCGTGGAAAGGGGAAAATATAAAATAGCCATGGAGAAGGTACAGCATAGAGTTCACACGAACAATACCAGGGATGAAGGTTAATAATTATGAAGAATGACTTGAAAGGTTAGATCTGGAACAGAGAAGATTAAGAGGATCTAATAAGGTCATTCTAAAGTTCTAAAAGGTTTTGAGATGATAGTGAAATATTATTTCCACTGGTTGGTGAATTGTTAACAAGGAGGCATAAACTCAGGATTATCATTGCAAGAGTTAATGGAAAGTTAAAAGTTTTTTTTACAACCAAACTGTCCAGAATATGGAATGCACTGCCACTAGTAGCTATTGAGTTTTTGACAGTATTTAAAGGGAATTAAATAAGCATCTGAAGAAGAATAATATAAAAGTTTTGGGGAAGAAGCTAGAAATTGGGAATAGACTAAAGTAGTGAATAATCCTTGCATTATTTGAGCGCCTTATATTATTGAGATGTTTCAAAGCATGTCACAGGAAAGGAGCTGACACCAGCATTTGCTTGATGAGCCAAATGGCCACCTTCTGTGCTGTAATTTACGTAATTATATAACTAATAAGTGTTCTAGACTGCAATATACTATTCAATGACTACAATATAGTTTTCTATAACTACAATACAGTGTTATAACATTCTAATATAATAATATTCATATCATAATAATCTACAATTGCTACATGCTATTCTACAAGTATAATAATAATACAGTATTCTAGACTGCAACACAATTACAATAGGCATGCTCTTTTTCCATACGATATTGAAGTTAAATCAATATTTAAAATAATATACATCTAAAGAAAATATTTAATCTTTTGGATCAGAATGATGGATAGTTGTAGTAAAAGTCTGCAAGCTAAATGCAGATCAGACTTGCATTTTATGTGCTTATTGGCACCAGTGCTATATTAGACACTGGCTCAGAG